CCCAGAGACACCCTACTGCTGTGAATTTAGTGTGCATCCAGTGCAGAGTGTGAGTATGAATATATTAAATAAATTCTATGGCAGTCACTTTTTTCATTCATTTTCATTTTTCAGGATCTGTCCATTTGGATACACATAGATCTAGGTCCGTCATTTTAGCTGTTTTATTTTTTATTTCTCTGTATGAATATTTCAGTCTTCCCAAATTCCTTTGATGGATATTTACATTGTTCCCCTTTTTTTTGCCATTACAGACAAAACTTCAGTGACCAGCCACCTTACAGATATCCCTTATAGTTTACTCCTCCTCCTTCTTATTCCTTGTTTTTGCTTTGGTGGTTTGATTTTGTTCTAAATATCTTATTTGAATTCTCCCATTTGGTTCAGTACTTTGGTATTCACAATCATCATTTGAGGGAGAGGGAGGGCGAGGAAAACCTTGCATAACTTGGAACGCCAGTTTTCTTTTACTAAGGTCAGAGGCTCTGAAATTTTCTTTTCTAGTGGATTCTTTTTGGGCTCTGATAAATTTGGCAACCTTTGTGTTTAATATTTTATATTTTTATTGTCTCATATTCAATAGCTGTTTTTTTATAAACGTCAGTAACTACTCACCTTTTTCCTTTCTTCCTTATAAGTTATCTTCTATTACTTTTTTCAGGGAGAGGGGAAGGGAGATAATTTGGTTTTTTGTTTGTTTGTTTGTTTATATGGAGGTACTGGGGATTGAACCCAGGACCTTGTGCATGCTAAACATGTGTTCTGCCACTGAGCTATACCCTCCCCCTTTTATTCCTTATAACTCCTAGAATACTTCCTCTCATTAAATGTAAGACTAGTATTTAGTGACCAATCCAGTTCATGCAGTTCTTGTATTACCTTATAAATTCAGCATGATCCAAACAGCTGATATTTATAAAAGAATTTCTTGCAGCATTTTTAGCCAAATTAAACATTTTGAAAGTATACGCCTTTACCTTAGATTAGAATTATTGCACATAAATTTTGTTCAAGGACCATATGTTTCAATGACCAATGGTTTTCATTTATGATTTTTTTTCTGGAATCTTTAATCCACTATGCTTTAGTCATTATTGTGAGGTTGAGTGTATTTTTAAGTTTTATGTTCCAGGGATTTTTTTTCCCCTTTAAAGGTGGATCCTATTCAGAGCTTTGAGCACTTGGAATGCTGAAGTGTTAAAAAGGAAAACTGTTACTCTTCTCTAATAATACACCCGCCTGCTGAAGTGTCTGAGTAGACCGTCCTTTCTTGAATATATCAACTATCTTTAAGAATTTATGTGCTAAGTATTTTTAAAAACAATTGATAAGACCTTAAAATGGAAATCTTGGTAATAAATATAACTGTAGAATATCATATGCTTGTATATTTTCTCTCAGATTTGTTTATGTCTTAGGTTATAGTTCAGATCACAAGTTACTGTGGTTGGCAAGTAACCAGACTTTGGATATAGGCTTATTCTGGCTTTAACGTAGGTGAATTGTCCACCAAAAGTATAAGCTCTATCTGTTTGCTCAGAAGTACCTGTCAGATCACCCGGTAGGCAGGTTTGTTCAGTGAATTATCTTCCTTGCGTTGTAATCACTAAGTTTGAATGGAGTTCGTTACCTGCTCTTTATCACATCAAGCCCATGTTTTATGCTGCGGAGAAATGTTCCTATTTTAAATCTTCCTTTAGAATAAAATTATGTTCTTATATAGAACACTAATACCATGGAGTTTTGTTTTCCCTTCCACTCTGGAAACTCTGCTATAAAAAATGTTAATTCTTAAGTCAAAAATAATTTTTTCTTCTAACTGTAGTTACCTTCTTGGGATATTTCATCTGGATTTGAACAGAAGACTTTATTGTTTCTGTGGGAGTCAAGAGTATTATATAAAGAACTTTCTTAAAATTATATTTTGTTTGCGTAATTCTTTATTTAAAACACCCATTTACCTGACTTTAAAGTAAAACATGCTTATTCTTAAAAACTTTAAAATAATGATAAGTATAGCTAAAGGAAACAGTCAGTCAGTCTCCCTGCTGCATCTTGTCGGGTCATTCTCCCAGTGGTCGTGGCGTACTCGCATGAGCACTACAGGAGAGTTCTTGTCTCTCTGGAATGTCTCTCTGGGCTCTCCCAGCATTGTCATCATTAAAACAGGCACTGCACATTTGTTAGGGGGAAAGATAATTTATTTTGTACCAATTTTTATAAGTCTTACCTGTAACTCATTACTAATAAGAGCATAAATCTGAAACTTGTTAGTAAACAAACTTTGTTAATAAATTTGATGTCAGAGAAGGGAAACCTTGTGTTTTTCAATTGTGTAGAGTTATTGTCTAATCTTTCAAGGACAGAAATCCAAAAGGAGATTAATTCAATCATTTATTAAATAGGTATTTATTTCTGGCCTTCTGTGTGGCAGACACTGTCTGGGTCTAGCAACAAAACAGACAAGAATCTGCCTGCTTATATTTCAAATAAAGTATGGTCGATGACTTTATGTGCTATAGAAAAAAATGAAGTAATGAAGGAGGAATAGGTTTGTGGCTGTGGCGGGAGAGGATGACATGTTTAAGGGTGTCAGGAAAGGCCTCACAGAGATGATGACTGTTAGGGAGAGCCCAGCAGCAGGAGGGAGTGCGCCAAGAGAGTATCCGGGGGAGAGTTACCCCAGTAGGGAAAAGGGCGAGTGCGAGCCCTGAGGCAGGAATGAGCCTGTTCTGCCTGAGGAACAACAGCAAAGAAGGGCAGTGTGGCTGGCACAATGTGAGCTCATGAGAACCTAATTGGAGATGAGAGCAAGAGAGGTAATGAGGTCCAGATTGTTCAGGGCCTTTTCAGTTATTGTAAGGGCTTTGGCTTTTACTCTGAGTGAGATGGAAAATCATTGGAGGTTCCATCAGAGGCTATGATTAAACTAAAAAGGTAATACTCCAAAATACTTGTATTTTGGCTTTGCTTTTTCAGAAGCTTTTGTTTGCTTCTAATAGTAATTTGAGTATTAACAAATGGTTCCTGGTGAATAGTCATACATAGATTCAATCATTTGTGTCAGCACTGAAAACTTCCCAGAAATACACATCTTAGGTATTGCAATTAAATTCAGAGAAAGGAAGTATAATAAGAAAGCCTGTCTATAGGTATTTATTCCTGGGTGGCTCTGCTTTATTACTGAGTTCTCATCCTGAATTGTCTTGGAAGAAAAACTAGGGGTGCATTCTGTGCAGGACACTGTATTCTTCCTTAGGCGCTGGAGGAGATACATACATACACATACACACATCCTCTGTTGGGTTATTTCATTGGGTATTATATGCATTTTATTGTGGTATTATTTTAATGCATTTTTATTATGAAATATAACCTATAGAAAGATACACAAAACATACCTATATAGTTTAAAGATTAATTATAAAAAGCAAGTACTTTGATAACCATCACTGAGACCTAGAAATGTATCATTGCCAGCATCCAGAAGCAGCATGCTGTGTTGGCTGTCTCTTCTAGATCTTGACCCACACTGTAGCTCAGAGGTATCACTAATCTGACATTTCTGATCATTGTTTCCTTTTCTTTGTGGTTTTACCACCTAGAATTCATTGCACACTAATATAACTAACTTGTCTTTTTTTGAATTTTATATACATTAATGGAATGATACTGTATGTGTTCTTTTACGTCTTCTTTCAGAACCTAACCATATGTTTGTAAAGTTCATCTGTGTTAATAGGACTGTAGTTTAATTTCATTGCCATGTAGCATCCTGTCATGAATATACCACAGTTTGTGCATCCATTCTACTGTTGATGATGTTTTTGGCTGTTAGGAGCAGTGCTGCTCTGAATGTTCTCGTTTATGTGCTGATGGATGTGGGCAGGAGTTTCCCTGGGCCATATTTGGCGGTGGAATTGCTGGATCTTTACCTTCATTAGATGATAAACTGTTTTCCAAAGTGGCTGTACTAATTTGTCCTCCTAGTGACAGTATGAAAGTGTCCCTGTTCCTCCCAGTCCTTATCAGTATTGACAGACTCTAAATTTTGCCAATCCACTAGGTCTACCAAGTGTTCATTCTAACAAATTAACCGAGATACCAAAACCTTAAACACAGTTGCTGTTCAGTAAATATTTGTTAAATGAATTCAACCTGACTCTTGTCACTCTAAGTCTTCTGATCAAGACTTTGTCCTGTTTTAGAGTCAGTGGTTGTAGTACAGTTTTTGGCGAGGGCTCATTCCATTACTGATAGTAACTAGATTTGGTTAACCAAAATAAGAGAACCAGTGTACCAGTTAAAGATAGCATTTACAATTTCAGGAAAAGCTTAACTCATTTTCCCACAGAGGGGAAGATAGCACCAGAGTTTTCTGCCTAGGTTATGCTCCTAGAAGCCATGCAACGACTCCTGTCCCTTTTCTGTTTTGAGTCGCTTTGTAGGTTACGGTAGATTATTTAGGGTGGTGGTGGTAGCTAAAATATCTCACCAGTCTTCAGCAGCAACCTCAGTGTGGAAGCTATTTATTAAAACCATAGGATACATGGCTTTGTTTAAATGTGTCTTGCTTTAGTGTAACTGACCCACAGAGCACTTTTTATAAAGGGTATTTTACCTAAAATTTTTATGGTAATTCTTTCAACATTTTGTGAATTAGCTGACAAAAGTGATCACTCCCCTCTTGTAAATGTTGATACAGGGCAGGCCACTTATTTAATTTTTGCTGTACTCATAGGTCAGTTAATTAGAGGAATTAGCTTGAATTTTTCTGACTTTAATTTCTAAATACAGTCTTTTTGAGAGATGACTAAAAAATAGAGCACCCAGAACTAGACATGAGATATAAGAATGGTAATTTTGACTAGTAAATCCTAGTAAATGTATCACCTGCTTTAGTAAGATTTTCCCTTTTTTAGAAATGGCCAAAGTAAGTAACGATTTGTATGAGATTCAGAATCTAGTTAAGTCTGATTCACCATCTCTATTTCCAACAGAGATTTCCTGTTAGACAAGACAAATTAGAGTCTTCCTACTGACTTGGTGAGTTTTTACATAGTTTTATTTTAAACATAGTTTAAGATCATAAGGACGGAAGTGGAATGAAATGCATAGAAATATTTACCATGACTTTAAAAAATGCACATCTTGAGTGCAATCTACTGTTCCGTTTCAGTGCAAATAGTCTGTAAAGTTAGAAGTCTTATGAGATAAGCATATAAGTTGTTTTTTCAATTTTTTTTAAAATAATGAGCATTATAGTCACTGTTAAAGAAACATTCTTCATAAATGATTTCAAAAGAGGTTTTATTCTAAATATTCTGTCCTGGAACAGACCAGAATTATTTATTCAGATCTTCTCTGGTGGCTACTGTACATAGGATAAGGCTTTCCACTAATGATGGAGAGGAGAAAAGTTGTTGAGATTTAAATTTTTAATCAGTGGTTGTTAGTACATGATCTGGAGACCTTAGATTAGAGTAAGATTATTTTTCTCCCTAGAAATCAGGGAAATCAAAATTATAGTTTATTAAAGGAGATGCCTTAACGCAACTCCTGGGCTTCATTTTACTTTATGTAAAAGGAGTTTGATTCTGAGTAGATTACCTTTGTGTATGTACCTTGAGCTATCTCTCTATGGGTAACTTAGGTAAATCTTTCTATCATTCTGTCTAGCATCTTAAAAGTTTTGCTTTGTGGTATGAGATTCTTGCCTCAAATGCTTATGTATGTTTTTACACAGTTTTATTGGGTAAAATAGGTGTTATTGCATTTTAATCTTTTAATATCCTGACACAAATCATGAGGAGCCAGGAAGTTGTGTTAAGACAGACATTCTTGGCTAACTTTCCCCTGTTTTGTCTGCCTGTGTGGTTTTACTTTTTCCTTGCGTCATGAATTTTGGAATGAACACTTAAAACTGAGAACTTCCGGCCCATCCTTTGTTCCATTTAGTATAGTTGGAACCTTAACATTAACATAGAAATTAGCTTATTTTTAGTAATTTTGAAAGAAGGGAGAATTTATTTTCTGCAGGTGGTTTCTAGGTAAGGAATATGGGTCCATGTAAACAGTCATCAGATTTCTCTACACCATACCTAAAGGAGAAGATTAAAGCATACATATGCCTTGATCTCTCTTTCATAGTTAGCGGGAACTCTAGGTGTCTCTCAAAAGGTGTCTCCAGAGAACACTGAATTCTACGTGCTGCTAGATAGTACGTGGTAGTTAATGCCGAAGAGAATTGGCTACCCTTGTTGTGGGCCAAATCCCCTGGAGTAGATGGGTCTTTTCAGCTTCTAAGTTAATGAACTTATTCCAACTTGTATACCCTAAGGCCAGTTTAAAATTTCTTCTTTGATATGCGTTTCTTGGACCCTTTCTGTAGCCAGATTGTATAAACAAGAAATATTTTTACATGACTTGACTAAAGCATCGATGACCAAAGAGAACTGTGTGCTGAGTTTGGCTTCTGTAAAGGCCAGAGGACCCTGTGGGGTTATGCAACTTCTTCCTATTTGTTTCATGAAATGACTCTTCTGTTTTTGAATTCCTTGCAAATTGGACATGCTTAAATTGTATTATGGCCAAGCTTTTCATCTGTTTACTGTTCAGATTTTATAAGATTCTTCATAGTTGTAGTTGAGGGGAGAAGGTGAAAAACTATAACCTCTCAAATCTCAAAACAGCTTTGGGAATATAATTATATAATAAATAGGATCTTCGTAGCCATAAGGTTTTTTCCCCTCTTCCTCCTCCTCTTCCTTCTTCTTTTTTAAAATTCTGTTCCAGCTCTTGTTTTAGAATAAATTTTCTCACCCTAGAGGAGAAATCTTTGATAACATGTGGGATGTGTTAAAATCTTCATCTTTCCTAAGTTTGCTCTTTGTGGCCCTAGAGATTTTTGCTCAAGCCATTCAGTGGAGTCAACACATTATTATAATTTGTGAAAAGAGAGAAGTTGCTGATTTTTTGGTTCTGCCTATCTAACTTCATTTCTGAAGGTGTTTTCCTTTGGAACTGAGATCCACTTTGAAGTGAAATAGCCCCTTTATAATCAGATTTGTTTGCTGATTTGGATTCATATCGTTCCATTTGAGACTTCCCCCATGATGGATTTTGAAAGTGATGTGTGGAGAAGCTTAACCTGATAAACCCTATCTGCCTTTTTTTTTAAAGCAGTTGGAGGAGTTTGGTTGTTTCTTTGTTTGGCTGATTTATTTTTTTCCTAGCAGGGGATTAGTAATTAACAACAGCAGCCCATCACCTGATGAAAATAACCCAGACCTTGTGAAACCTGTACTTGTTGCAGCCATGGTTTATTCTGCAGGATCTTTCATCCAAGTGGAGACAGGAATTTTTTCCTTCGATGTTGTTACGTCATTTGTGCCTAAATTGAGAAGCACAACGAAAGCTCAATAAGTCTTTTTAAGGTCTAAGGAGATTTAGTCCTACAAGGCTGTTGAGTGACACCTACCCTTTTCCAGGACAGACTACGTTTGGAGCAGAGTGTGTTCTTCCTGGACATATTTTGGGGGTAGAGAATTATGCTAATATGTCCATATCAACAGCTCTTACATAATGGCTAGTTTTTAGGGGGAGGGAATGATGCCCTAGCCCTTAACTTAAATTGGCAATGAGTTTTTCTGCTCTTTGGTATTTTGTTGTTGTTAATTAGAAAAGTTGCATCCAGAATGAGAACTATTCCATATTTTAACCTTTGAGCTGGCTGCTAAGGTCTCCCTGGGGACAAGGACACTTTGAAGTTATTTATAACCTATAGAGAAGGGCAGTAAGGCTGTCAACAGCCAGCACACGCTGAGGTTTGGGAGTCAGTGGGAGCATTCTGTTGTTTATTCCTCTACTTTCCACAACTTGAGATTCTTTCATGTGCCTTCTTGTTCATCTGCATTTTGACTTTGGCTTACTAGCCAGCCTATTTCTATAAAACTCTGTTATAACACTTAGATTGAGGAGGAGGAAAAAATAGCCTTTTTATGTACAAAAGCGTATCTAATCCTTACAATCATTTCAGAGTCTGTGCTGCCTAAGAAATCTGTAAACTGGGAAAATCTTAAAGGTACTGATGTGCATATGTAATACTATACTTGTTTCTGAGTTTTCCTTTTATGTAGTAGTTTCTTCTAAGTTTTCCTTACATACAACAGTAGTAGGAACAATTGAACTCTTAATTAGATAAACATTCAGCTATGGCAGAAAATTTGTTCTACATCTTCGCTTGGTATAGAAAAAACTTGGTTATGTGTCTAGACATGTTTTAAAGGTATGTCTGTCTCTCTGTCTCTGTATCTGTATCTGTACACATGTTTACATGTGTATCTATTTAATGTTAATTATCTTTTCTCTACGTGTCAATTTTAAGGGAATCAAACCTTGTGTCAAATATGAAAATTATAGGTCAAATCTAAGTAAATGCTACGGATCTGCCTCATTTTTATCAGTGTATTAGAATTTTATTATATAGCATTCGACTTGAAATAACTTAGAGGTCTAGCCTCTCTGATGGTACTTCCAGGATGTGCTTGTATTACTGTTGTCTTGTGGGTTCAGGAACTTCCCATTTAGCCCTGTAGGTTTCTCTTTTCTCCCAGCTTTTCTTGAATTTTTTTTTCTTTAAATCAAAAAAGGAATATAGTTTTGGAATGTATTAAATGAGTTCTTTAAAATTGGAGATGAACTGATAGTTTTCTTTTTAAAATATTTTGTTGTTTTGAAAATATGCCTGAATTTCCTATAGCTGTTATTCATTCAGCAACTCCCAAACTTTAACCTTTTAACTGGAGCTCATTAAAGGAAAAATACGATCCCCAAAGACAGTGAGTCTGGTTAGTCAGCAGCAATTTCATTGAACAAATATTTACTGAGTGCCTATTATGATGTGCCATTTTAGGCACAGGGGGATGCTGTTTTCCCATTGTGCTTAACTTCTAGTGGGGAAGACAGTAGACAAGTGAAAATATAAAAACAAGATAATTTCACTAGTGGTGATAAAAAAGAAATTAAAATAGAGTAATGGGATAAAAGAGACAGGCTAAAAGTGGAGACTACTTCAGATCAGGTGGTCAGGGAGGACCTCTCTGAGGAAATTACACTTGAAAGGACACCTAAATGACAAGAAGGAGCCAGCTATGAAAATATCTGAGAGAAAAAGGAGCTTTCCAGGCTGAGGAAAGAGCCTGATGTGTTTACCAGATAGAATTAAAGGCTGAGTGACTAACACGTGGTGATTGAGCAGGGTGTTAGATGAGGTCAGGGAGGTGCACTGAGACTTTGGCAGTCATGACAGAAGTTGATTTTATTTGGATAGCAGTAGAAGCCACTGAAGAATTCCTGTCTGGCTTCTCATAGGGGTCTGATTTATAAGCCATCTCATAACTTAGAAAAATTAATTGTGAAGGCTGCTAATTCCTTTTAAAATATTTTAATTTATTATTTGAAAAGGTAATATATTCATGTGGTTCAAAATTCAATAAGTACAAAAGGGAACACAATGGAAATTCTCTTTCCCACCCAAGTACCCGGTTTCCTTCCTTGGAAGTAACCAGTGTCCCTTGAGTCTTGTGTAACTTTACAGAGATATTTTAGACCTGCACATATACATAGAGATAAATATTTTTGCCTCTTCCACTTTCCTTTTTTATAGATTCTTATTATTGTCTTTACCATAATTTACTCTGTTGATGGACTTTTAGGTTATTTCCATTGTTTTTTCCTGATTACAAATAGTGCCACAGTGAAAACCTCTTATATTTGTCATATTAAATGTATCCATAGGGTAAATTTCTAGACGTGGAATTGTTGGCTCAAAGGGTGTATGCGTTTCTTATTCATTCTGATATGTATTTCCCTTCATGGAGTTTATAACAATTTATACTCTAATCAGAAATGTTCTCCTTACCCTGGGTAAGTGTTATCAAGCATTTTAATCTTTGCCAATTCACTGGGTGAATTAATATGTGGTTTAATTTGCATTTGTCTTATTATGAATGAGAGTTGAACTTGTTTTCACGTATTTAAGAACA